CAGAGCAGTTTGTAGGGATGCTGAGCAGCTCTACTTTCTCATGATAAATAAGAGCAGCAGCTGCTGTTGTGCATGCGCCTGCTGGTGGGTGGATGTGTTACTGCTCCAGATACCAGGTCCAAAATAAAGGATTGCAGTGTTTGGGTTTGACAACTGAACATTGAACACACAATACGAGCCCTGCTTTCTGTCTATCAACAACTTTCTCACACACACACACACACACACACACACACACACACACACACACACACACGAGGAATTCTTATCTCATATTCTCCACCAGACTGGAAACACTGTCAGCTTCAACACAGGCTTTTTAAGTGATGCTTAGTTTTTTTCTGTACGTGCGGATGTTCTTGCTCTCACGTGTGAATTTCAGGCAAAATTATTAGTTTTGGCTGTGCACATTGTTGTGTGTAGCTGTGTAAATACAGCCTGTCACTCCACTTTTCTGAATGCAAACTGGCATCATTAGCGAGCCTGTGACTGGCTGCCACGCCACAATGGTTACAACACTGACAGCGGGGAAATGTGGAGTTTGAACATTGTTATATTATTTCCAGCATATTTGACATGTTTGTGTTGGTCCAAACTTGGATACAGCTCAACTGGCAGACTTTGATAGGTAGACATCAGAAAACGAATTGAGCATCTGGCAGAACACACACACTTGAAGGTGAACACACTTTAAAAGCAATCAGTTTTAAGAGAGCATTGCAATTGCAATCATTTCCCCAAAAAGAATTATCATTTTAGGTTTCAAGAAACTGCTTCACAGTTTTGATGCAACAAAGGTGACATTAAAAACACATATTCAGCTATACCCACACTTACTTTCAAATATAAATCTTTTTTATACAACCGTACATAACGACTCAAGAATGACCACATAAAAATGCTGCATCAGCAGTTACAAGCTTGTGTAAAGCTTATTATCCTATAAAGAATAATAGGTTTCCCTCTAATGGAGACAAATGGGGAACTCAACATTAATGATTTCCAAGTTGCCTTAAGAAATATCGTCCAAACTATACACAGAAGAACACGAGCCAATGCATAAATGATTTCAAGTAAAAAAGTGACTGTGTTACCTGCATGAGAGGATCATGTGGTGCTAGAACAAACAGAACGTGTTGTTTTCATCGAATGCCAAATGAAAAGACTACATTTCAGTCATTGTAGGGAAACACAGCAGGATATTTAGGCGTTAGTTTGCTCATGGTTTGTTAAACAGAAGCAAAAGCATTACTCACATTAGGAATGTGTGTAACTGGAAACTCACTGTGGATTTGTAGCCAGAGCTGAATTGTGTTGTATTTACTTAAAAGTCCCATGACATGCTTTTCCAGTAATATCTATCAAATAGTTTGATATATATTACGAAGATTATTTGAGGTCTCGCCAGGAGAACGTGTATGTCTTTCCCTCTATGTAAAGTTAGCGTCAACCCTCACCGGGTGTAAACAGTATTTCCGGTCACAAACGGTCATTCCCCTCTTTGACAAATGATTTAACAGTGATATCTGCAGTACTCATCCACTAAAACACATCAGTGTATCCTTGTTAATTACACAACATTAATTGGTATAAATTGTGTACACTGCTTTTGTGTTTTTCCCATAGGTTTTTCCCTTTCGATTCTGAGACACATTTCTTTTTTCTTTTGATAGGCTAACACATTGAACTACCCATAATCCTCAGCTATCGTTGAAGCTCGGTGATTGGATGTTTTAGCCGCAATGTGCGTTGGGATATGGTGTTTATGCGATGTGATATCCGAAAACATAAAAAAATAAATAAAAAAAACTTTATTCCGAGTGTGCTTGCTTTTCTCTTTGAAAGTCATCACATAACGGCATTGTAATACACGGTTCGGCTGCATTAAATATTACATATCTGCCGTAGTTCTCTATTTATAGAACCTTGATTAGAAGACCTTTTGACAATACGTCTTCACACAATACGTCTCCTTGCAGTATCAATAGTAATTCGGCTGACTTTTATATTTGATCCAATTGGTAGATAGATTATATTTACACCATACCGGTGCACAGCTGATAAAAAGGGACTTGTAGTTTTTAAAGATATTACTGATTTTGTTTGAATTAAAGAATGTAAATACTGAGTTGAGAACATAGTCAGGGGTTTTGGGTGATGGGAGACACATCTATGGAATCAGAATTTCAATAGCTTACCATTCAATGACGGATATACCTCAGATATTAATGTGTAGAACTACAATATGTGAAATAATATAGCAATATCCTGTAAAATTATGTGAAAACATGAATAAAACTACGCATCTTCAGATGTTATACATACATAAGTGTCCTACACTAATAATACAAAGTTATTATGGCATTGTATGCTGTGTGTTATTTTTTAACATATTCATAAAGTATAATTTATTGTGTTAACACTGAATTAACAAATGTAACCTGCATTTTTTTATGTTATATTTGATGAAAACATTTCAATATTAAGAGTAGCCTACATACAAATTAGGGGGAAAGTAGAAGGTCAATGCAACATGCAATGTATTGTTAGTTTGTAATTCTACTCCACTACAATTCAGAGGTTAACCTGGTATTTTTACTCCACTACATTTATTTTAGTTACTTTGCAGATTCTGATTAATGATGTGAAATATATACAACCCTTAAAGCAGACTTTAGTTACACCTGAGTACTTTGTCAGACTTAATATTTATCTGTAGATACCCCCAAGGTTTTTTTCTTATTCAAAAGAAGATCTTAAAGTATTCTTATCTTATCTTAAGATGATCGATGGCTACTGCCATATTTGCTAAATGTGCCTCTGAACCTTGACAAGTGCAGGCTTATCAATTAACAACAGGAGGGGTCACAGACACAAGACCAGCTATTAAATAAAGCTCTTCTGACCTTAGCTGTCATGTGGGTATATATTAATGCTGCCCATTATGGACATAAGCAATTTTCACCCATTTATTAATTATATGTTTTAAATTGAAGTGTTCCTATCCCTTAAACCTCAAGGGGTGTACACAGTTTAATACTGGCAACTTCTAATTATGGAAAATACGAAAACGTCTTTTAAAACTACAATTCCCAGTAGAGACGTGCCATAGAACATGTTGCGAAACACAATTAGCCAGCATAGTAGTTCTGGGGGGAGGGGGGGCTGGACCCGCAGACTATCCAGTTTTGGATAGTCTGCCGTGGTTTCATTCCATTTCAAAGTGTTGTTTGAAGCTCATGTAACCTTGGCGCACTGCCACTCCAACATCCAATCACAGAGCTTGAGGACTAATCACACGGTTCGTCAAGCAAAGCGGATGTTGTAGTCCCAAACGATAGCTGAGGATTATGGGTAGTGTAGTGTCTTCGGCCATCCTAAACTCCCAAAAACGATTTGTTTCTCCGAATAGAAGGTTAAAAACACAAAAGCATTGTACACAATTTAAACCAATCAATGTTGTGTAATTAACAAGGATAATCTGATGTTTTTTAGTGGATGAGTACGGCAGACATCACTGTAAAATAATTTGACAGTGAGGGGAATACTTCCGGTTTTATTATGAAAACGTAGAGACCGGAAATACTGTTTTCACCCCGTGAGGGTTGACGCCAACTTTACATGGACGCTGCCGTCAATAGAAATGAATAGGGGAAAGACGTAGTATATACACATTCTCCTGGCGAGACCTAAAATAATCTTCGTAATATCTATCAAACTATAGATCCTACACATCCACTGGACCTGGATGCTAAAAGTACAATATACACTTCTCGCTAGAAATCTAATCAAAAAGCATTTTAATGGCCAAACTATTCTACAATTTAGGATTTTCCAGAGAGGGTTATTTGTGAATATACGACCCTCCGGAGCGTTTGCAATTGCTACAAATTGTTGTTTCTTACACGACCACGAGAGGTGCTAAACTTTAAAATGAGACTATAGGTCGTAATAAGCTGCTGAACAATCAACCTATTTGGTCGTTTTTTGGAGGAGGACAGGCTGATTCGAACACATGGTGTTAATCAAATATAACACAAAAGACCAAAGAGAGCGACATAGATTAGCTTTAGCATTGGGTTGTGCTGTTTATGTCTTTAAATTAATAGTTATAATGTTCACTCCCTTTCCAAGAGTCCGTTTAAAAGATTTATACCACTCTTATTTTTACTCATTAAATAACTCAGCAGCCAAAAAGCTTTGGGGGCAATAAAGACTAGACATTCTGTGAAATAGCTAATCTGGCTCAGAGGTAACAAATCCACCTACTAGCACATCAAAAGCTCACTAATCCTTTTAACAGTTATTTTCTCTAGATCATTTTAAGGTGGCTCAGTACTATTATGTATTTTTTAAAACGTGCAATTATTTTTGATAGTAGCCCACAGGTTGAGATTCTCCAGTCTCATGTCATTCCACTCTGACTAGCTCCATGCCGTCGTCTCAAAGACCTTGACGGGTCCTGTCTGTGTCTTTCTTTGCTCTCTAGTTTGTGTCAACTCGACAGTCCTTGCACTTTGTTGTATTCCTTTTCCTCTGTCTCCTTGCTCTTCACGTTTGTTTCCTCTGCCTATCAACCTCCGCTGTGTCTGCTGCCCTTCATTTTATCATCTTTCAGCTCAACACTTTCTCTTAAATATCCCCTCTGCCTTTAATATCCTTTCAACCTTTCTCCTTTCCTCTCTTGCCACAATATTCCTCTTCTTCTCCCTAACTTAGTATGTATTTTTGTACAGCTTTTTCCAATGACGGCAATATCTCACCTTCCTAAAAGTGTTTTTCGTACACATTTCATCACCATCACTGCATGCGTCACATAAAAAGTCATTCTTTACTGCACATTTAATCCTCCCTTAAGAAGAAATGTGACGATGTGGCTCTTTGATGAGGACCAATAATTGAATGAAGCAGAATAAAACTGAGTAAAACAGGTTGTGACATTTTTTTTTGCAATATTTCTTTGTATGCATAATGCTTTCTGTCTCTCTGTTTGTCTCCAGGTCTTCTTTGACGTGCCCTCATTGCCTTAAGCAGAGCAACACCTTCGACCCATTTTTATGTATCTCCCTGCCTATCACACTGCGACAAACCAGGTAATGTTTAACTTACACGACAATAAGAAATAACCAAGAGAATATAATTTAATTATGTCCTGGCATGTTTTTCTGAACTGTGCTACAGTCATAATGATTCTGCAATCCCTGAATTATATTTATTTTATCCATTACTCAGCCCGTGTATATTCATTTGTTATTTAAAAAATAAAAGTAGTTTGGTAATGTTATGGCTCTCAGCCACAACAAACGCGCGACAGAAACGAGAGCGTGAATAGAAAAAAAAAGAGTTTATTTGGCTGCTGCTGAAGGACACAAACAGGCGAAATAAGAGGTCAGCTGGTCGTGACTGCTCTTCACGTTGCGTCCTCCTGCCAGAGAGAGAGAGAGAGAGAGAGCGAGATCCGGTCCAGTCCTTTATCCGGCTAGCACCAGCCGCCAGGTGTCCTCAATTCCCGTGAGCACACACAGAGGGAGAGTCATTAAAGGGCCACACACACACGCATACCCACCACCAGAGATAGTGAGGCAGGGGTCGTGACACCCCCCCCCTTAAAGTCGGTGTCCCCAGGGCCACCGGCACCACACACCAACCCCATCCCAAACCAAAGGAAAAAGTCATGGAAAAAAAAACCACACATATGGCACTCCCCCAGAACCCCAATGAAATACACCACCTTCACACAGCAATCCTCGCCTTCAGCACCCAGCCACACCTTTAGCAACACCAGTATCTGAGAAGCACTTTAAAAAACATGGGCAGAGCGAGAAAGATTTATCACAGTATGACAGTCCATATATATATACACATCAAGGTCAAACTAACAACTACTTAGTACCATGGAGCACGTGACAGCGCGTCAGCAATAACATTGTCGGATCCCCTAATGTGCCTAACATCAAGGTTGTAAGCCTGAAGAAACAAAGACCACCTCGTCAGCCTTTGGTTGGGACACTTCATTGAATGCAAAAAGGTCAGGGGATTGTGATCTGTGTAAACCAAAATTGGTCTTCCTGCTCCCACATATACAGTGAAATGCTGCAACGCCCAAATGAGTGCTAACGCTTCCTTCTCAATCACCGAATAATTCCTTTGGTAACTGTTAAGTTTCTTTGAAAAGAAACTGACGGGTCTCTCCACCCCCCCTTGTCAACCTGGAGCAGAACCGCACCGACTCCCACCTGGCTTGCATCTACTTGGAGACTAAAAGGACGATCAAAACATGGAGCCGCTAACGCCTGAGAGGAGCACAATAGAGACTTAACACTATCAAACGCTCTCTGACAGTCGACCGACCAAGTATATTTTACCTTAGCCCTGAGAAGTTCCGTCAGAGGAAACACTGTAGTGGAAAAATGTTCACAGAACCTCCTGTAGTAACCCACCATACCCAAAAATCTCTGGAGTTCCTTTTTGGTTGTGGGTATTCAGATATTGCCCTGACCTTGGCCAGAACTGGAGCCACACAACCCTGACCCACCACATGACCAAGGTATGTCACTGTGGCCTTTGCAAAGGCACATTTGGCCAAATTAATAGTCAGATGTGCCTCCGTCAACCGTTCAAACAACCTCTCGATGCGCTGAACATGAGCAGTCCAAGTATCACTGCAAATTACCAAATCGTCTAGATACACCGTACAGCCCTCTAAACCCGACACCACGCGATTCATCAAACGTTGGAATGTAGCAGGAGCATTTTTTAACCCAAACGGCATTACCTTATATGAATAAAGTCCAGATGGTGTGATAAATGCTGCTATTTCCTGTGCCCGCTTAGACAAGGGGACCTGCCAATACCCTTTAAGCAAAGCAAATTTGCTAACATACTTTGCAGACCCCACCTGATCTATACAGTCATCCATCCGTGGCAAAGGAAAAGAGTCTGATTTTGTCACCGCATTCACTTTTCTTAGATCAGTACAGAATCTAGGTGTCCCATCCTGCTTTGGCACCAAAATACATGGAGACGCCCAACTAGATGCTGATGGTACAGCAATTTTATTCTCCACCATGTAATTAATCTCTGCATCCAACTGACTGCGCTTAACTGGTGGCATGCGATAAAATGTTGCTTAATCGGCTGAGCGTCCCCAACATCAATATCATGCTCAGCCCAGTCAGTTTGCGAAGGAGTGTCTCCAAACAGACACAGATATTTGTGTACCAATGCTGATAATTCCTCAGGTCTTGATGCCGCCAAATGAGACAACAACCCGTCTAAATTATCTAGCGATTCCGAATTTCTCAAACGACCACAGAGCAAACTATCATCAGGTTCGGGCACTATATCTCCCTCATGCGTCAAACCATGTGTCACCACCACAGCCGGCTGCACTTTATCCTTCTCCACCTCTGTGTCTGTGTTAACCTCCCGCTTGTGGTAGGGTTTCAGAAGATTTACATGACAGAGGCGTTTGGTCTTCCTTCGTTCTGGTGTTGCCACAACATAATTTAGGTCAGAAGTTTTCTCAATGATAGTGTACGGACCTGAAATGGGGAACCAACAATAGGCATAAGTGATAGAACCTGGTCACCTGGATTAAACTCCTGTCGTGCCGAACAACGGTCATAGAACTTCTTCATGTTACTTTGAGACACTGACATCTTTTCCCGTGCCATACTCAAAGCAACACCCAAACGACGTCTGAAGCCATTCACATAATCCACCAAGCTCCGTGGTGGCTCAGTGTCAACACAACCCTCTTTCAGCACTGCCAAGGGACCCCGTACAGCATGTCCGAAAACCAACTCATTAGGGCTAAACCCCATACCTTCATGTACCGCCTCCCTTGCAGCCAACATCAACCAAGGAAGACCTTCCTCCCAGTCTCCATCTAGCTCAGTACAGTAAGCACTAGGGCTGCACGGTATTGAAAAAAAACTGACATCGCGATTTCCCCCCCCCCCCTGCGGTATATATATCGCGTTTTTTTTAACCTGTTAAACCCCAAAGTCCCGGCAGGTACTTTACTTTTTTTTTTCACTACAGTGTCTCAGGGGATCGTAATATTTAAGAACCTATTAATGTGTTATACCAGATTAACGGAAATAATCTCAGCTAATTGACGATACAAACCATTTTTACCAAAACAAAACACAAGTCTCATAAGAAGCATCTAAATGACCCCTGAGCGAAAAATGCTAACGCACTTTGGCACAGAACTCAAGATAAAAGTACCCTTATTATTACTTATCATAGCTGCATTTACAAGATATCCGATTAAAGCTGAGGTTCCACAGATTATTTAGGTATATAGTATCATCACCGAGTGATCTGAACTCGGACAGGGGAAGCAAACACAGACATCACAACACGTACCTTTACGTAGCTTCTAGGGGAGATGTCTCACCGTAGCTGTCAATCTGATCAAAAGACGTGTTCAATGGCATTAAAACGAGAAAGAAAAAACGCGGCTGAATTGGTTAATCCATAGGTTTTTAAAGTCTGTATAAAAAAATGATTTAATTTATAATCCATAATTCCATTTTCTCCGGTATTGTCCTCCTGTACCTCGCTAATTTTTTACCAGTGTTTTGATAGTCTGCAAACTAGCGGGGCGGGGCCTGCTGTGATCTGATCAAGAATGATTGTGATTGGTGGTTTGCTGTGCATGCAGGGGAAGTTCTCCACACACCAACACGTGAACAAATAAGGAGTGAGAGTGACGCGTAGCCAAAACCGAAAGCTGCATACACTCTGGTGGCTACCATTAGCAGCTAACTTTTGTGCTCCGATTTTTACATAAAAATGGAATTATGGATTATAAACAATTGCTTCAAAGCTACATATACATTATCAACCTATGGATCAACCGAGTTTTTTCTTTCTCGTTTTAATGCCATTGAACACGTCTTTTGATCAGATTGACAGCTACGGTGAGACGATCTCCCGTAAAAGCTCCGTAAAAGGTATGTGTTGTGTTGTCTGTGTTTGCTTCCCCTGTTGCGAGATCGGATCGCTTAGATACTATACTTAAATAATCTGTGGAGTCTCAGCTTTAATCGGATATATTGTATGTGCAGTTTCGATAAGTAATAAGGGTATCTTTATTTAGAATTCTGTGCTAAAGTGCGTTAGCATTTTTTTTTAAATGAATAAAACCGCACGTCCCTGCGGTGTGAATACCGCGCATGCGCATACCGCGGTTATCGCCATGACACGGTATATCGTTCAGCCCTAGTAAGCACGTAACAAGGATTTCAATGTCTGGTGAAACCTTTCCAAGGCACCCTGGCTTTGAGCGTGGTAAGCTGTTGACTGGTTCTTCTTAATCTTCAAAAGCTTCAACACCTGAGCAAACATGTGAGATGAAAAATTGGAGCCTTGATCACTCTGGACGACCTTAGGAATACCAAATATTGAAATAAACTGTGACAAAGCCTTAACCACAGCCTTAGTTGTAATCGACCTCAAAGGATAAGCCGCTGGATACCTAGTGGTTTGACACATCACAGTCAGCAGATATTTGCAACCAGACTTTGAACACGGTAAAGGGCCCACACAATCCACAATGAGATGTGTAAACGGTTCACTTACCACTTGTATAGGCTGTAGTGGTGCTGGTTTGATCTTCTGGTTTAGTTTCCCCGTTAGCTGACACACATGACACGTTCTAATATACTGCGCCACATCTCTTTAGACGTGGCCAAAAGTAGTGTCTCAGGATGTTCAAATATGTTTTCCGAACCCCAAAGTGTCCACACTCATCATGTGCGACTTTCAGGACCAGAGGACGAAACTTAGTTGGCACCACCAGCTGGAAAACCTCAGTTCCCCCACCATCAACAGCCACAGGAACCCATCTTCTAAACAACAAGTCATTATGCAACATGTATCCACTTGAAGTGTTTTCCCCCTGTGCAACTGGCGCAACACAGTCAAAAAGGTCTTTCAACGAAGAATCCTGACGTTGCTCCTCTCCCACCTCATGGTGTGTAAGTAATACCGAAAACTCAGACAAAGATGGAACCTCCACTGTGTCAGTTGGCTTTCCATCTGGTAGCAAGTCATGATCCCTTTTGGCCCTAGCACGTGT